ACTGGGATGTCGTGCTTGGAGAAAACCCTCCTGAGTTTTTCTGATACACCAGCTACATAGGGGATGACAATGTTGTTGCATTTGTTTTTCTTATCCTCCCTCGCTGGTGTCTGATCTTTTTTTCTGTGCCTCTTTGCTGACTTGATGAAAGCCCAATTAGGATGTTTTAAGTGCTTCCTTTACATGTGTGTGTTCCTTCTTTTCCCTTCAGCTTAGAGGAAACATTTTCTGCCCGGTTTTGTAGGGTCCTGATTACTCCAATTTTGTGTTCCAGAAGGTGGTGGGAGTCAAAGAGGAGGTACTGGTCCATGTGTGTGAGCTGCCGGTAAACTTCATTGTTGAGGTTTCCACTCTTTTCAATGCACACAAAACAGTCCAGGAAAGGCAACCAGTTGTCCTTTGTGTCTTCCCTGGTGAACTTGATGTTTTTATCCACAGTGTTAATGTGAGCAGTGAAGGATTTGACTTCTTCTGTTTTGATTTTTACCCAGGCGTTGTCTACATATCTGTACCAGTCGTTAGGTACTTTCCCTTTAAAAGAGCCAAGAGCCTTTCTTTCCACTTCCTCCATGTAAAGGTTGGCTACAATAGGTGACACCGGGGAGCCCATGGCACAGCCACTTTGCTATCAAAAACATTCACTCCTCAGAGAAGAACACACACCTGAGGACAGACAGGAAAAATGGGTGAAGAACTTTTCAGACCGGAATTTCACTAAACCTGAAGTAGACATACAAATACTTTGTTACTGTTTTTAAATTAGATGTTAGTGTTGTCAAAGTTAACATGTGATTAGGTAGAGGATCATTAGGGGGTCCATTGTCCCTCGTTGGGGGAATACTCCCACAGGGCTTAAATCTGGGACTCTCCTCCATTTGACCCTAGAACTGAAGAAGCTTCTTGGATGAGAGGTGAAACGTCTTCAAGCAACTTAAAGAAGTCTAGACGCTTTTCTTTCCAAGCTCCTTAGACCACCATTACGCTTGTTGACCTTCTGGCATCTCTCTCACTCTCTCTTTTTTTTCCACATTATCATAGCTACAAAATTGAGAGGTAATTAATTTTATTGCATTCACCTTATCATGGTGAAGGGGTTTGAGTGTCCCAGGGATCCCAGGGGCTATGTATTTTGGGGCTTTTTATCCCCTAATATGGTCTCCCATGGTAAATTGGCCCTGGATGTAGGACCAGACAGAGCGATTCAAAAACCCCTGTGTGTGCAAGAACTAGGGAACAGCTACTCCTGCCAGGGTAATCCAGGGTTACTGGGGCCCCACCCTGGAGCCCACAAAGGGTGCCTGAGGGCAAGCATCTGGTGGCCAGGCCTTAGTCCATTGGGTCTGGCCGGGCACAGCCTGAAAAGGGGGCATGGGCCCATACTCCTCTAGGCCCACCATACACAGGGGAAACTGTATGGGCCGGGTGCAATGTGTTTTGGGCGGTGGCCAGGGGTGGAGACCCTGGCATACCAATCCCCGGCTACCAAGACTAGCGAATTGGAATGTCACCTATCTGGTGGGGAAGGAGCCTGACTTGGTGTGTGAGGTTAAGAGGTATGGGCTAGATCTATAATTCAATTCAATTCGATTCAATTTTATTTATATAGCACCAAATCACAACAATAGTCGCCTCAAGGTGCTTTATATTGTACAGTAGATCCTACAATAATAGATACAGAGGAAAAACCCAACAATCATATGACCCCCTATGAGCAAGCACTTTGGCATGGTAAATGGTAAAAATGGTAAATGGCCTGTATTTGTATAGCGCTTTACTTAGTCCCTAAGGACCCCAAAGCACTTTACACTACATTCAGTCATCCACACACTGGTGATGGCAAGCTACATTGTAGCCACAGCTGCCCTGGAGCGCACTGACAGAGACGAGGCTGCCGGACACTGGTGCGACCAGTAGGCAACGGGTGAAGTGTCTTGCCCAAGGACACAACGACTGTTGGAGCCGGGGCTTGAACCAGCAACCTTCCAATTGCAAGAC